AAATCTGGCGCCACTATCAGTTATTTTGAGCTGAATTAATTTGATATAAAACGGCTTAAGGATCTGTAGTTTTTGGAACTTCAACCTTCTTCAGCTGCCAGCTCATTTGTGCTTAAGTTGCAGCAGTCAACAGTCCCTACATAAAATAACAGCCACTTGCTATTTATGTCATTTCTCATTTGCAATAAATTGTGGGATGACTCAGGCTAGCCAAAAGCCGCCAACAGCAGTGTTCAAAGATATGAATCATGTCACTGAAAAGAATTCCTTTTGATTTGAGCAATTGTTTTTAAATAAAAATATTTTGTGAAACTCAAATCATGTGGCATACAAAAATGTTTAATCATTTAATAATACTTTTTAGAATATCATACCTGAAATGGACGCTAATTATTGTTTTGCTCCTACTCATGGGACATTTTCAGTTGATAAAATGAAGCATGAGCAATTGAAAGCCGCAAATAAACTTCCATCAATCTTCCAATTTTCCAAAATCACATGCTTCTTTTCTTTTTATTAGGAACACAAAAATAAATATTAATCCGTTGTTGTCTTACAAAACTTAATTAATTAATGAAGAGAAATTGTCAGAGTTCCCACTGAAACAATTTCGAGAGTAATATTAAACCAAACAAATAAACAATCATAAATTTCAAACTAGTAAAGAGAAAGAAAACATGCGCATTTACCTTAGTTCATCCAATAAATATGTTACGTCCATCAAAGTAAATATTATTAAAATACCTTTTCACCTTTCTCTTTATAATGAATGTATTTGTTATGATTTGCTATCACTTATACAAGAAAAATATAAGTTTATATACTACGTTTAAAAAGAAAAACCTAATATTACTAGGATTTTTTTTCCTAAGCTCAAATCCAATTAGAAATTTAATTACTTAAAGAAATCCTATAGTAGCTCTTCATGGAATAGGCCCAAACCGTTTACAGGACCCTCGAATGCATCTGTCTTGCCTCTTATTGTTGAAGTGGTCGATAACTCTAACATTCACCCTTGTACTGTTAGTGAATAAAATTAATTAATTCAATCTCTAGTAATTGAAAGAGGAAACCTTGACAAAATGATAGGTTCTAATTATATATCTAGGTTGTTGGTTTCATCACTTAAAGGCTTAAACTAGTGGAGGGAAAATGCATGCAACTAGACTTAGGCAAGGACCGTTCCCAACCAGGTCAGGGTTTGGGCCCGATTGGGACCAGTCTTCCTGGGCCCATAGGACCGGTCCTATGGGCCTGGTAAATTTTTTTTCCCCCCAACTTTTTTTATATTTAGGGGCCAAAAAAAATTATGTAAGGGGGTTTATGTAATTTTTAAGGGGAAATTAGTAAATTTTTATTTAATTTAAAAAAAATAAAAAATAAATAAATATCAACAGTCATGTGCTGTGTGTAATTATTATTTTTTTAAAATTTTTGTAAAATATCAATTTAACCCTCAATATTTTTATCAATTTCAAAATTTATGGGAGGATTTTGGATATTGTCTAGGAGGTTTTTGGATATTGTCCAGGAGGCTTTTTGAAAAAAAAAAGCAAAGGGGTTTGGGCTTGGGCCTGAGACCGATCCTAGGCCTAGGCCTAGGCCTTAGAGGAGGGCCTGATCCAGAGATCGGTCCCTCCTCCATGGGCCTGGTCCGGGTTTGGGACCAAGCCTCCCATGAATGGTTTATTGGGCCTGGTCCCAAATGCCCAGGTCTAATGCCAACTAATTTTCCAAATAACTTATCTTATGGTTCAATAATTCACCTAAGTAATTATGAATATTACTAAATATCGATGTCTATTTTTTATGGGTGATCACTATGAGTTTTGTAGTCTTAGTGATGGTGGGTTCCTAGGACAAACTTTTTATTGAGGTTTTTTGTCGAGCACATAGGGGGCAATGAGAGTAGGGGTGTTTTTTCTTGGCTTTTAAGAGTTGGGTTGGTCAAGGCAGGCCCTGGGGGAGGATTTCATGCTTGGGAGAGGGGTGGAAGTCGGTGGAAGGCAATCGTTGAGGTGATTGTCCTTTTTGATGGTGCAGGCGTGCACGCCAACGCCAGTGCGTGCAGTGCTGGACTTGCCAGTCAGCGTGCGCCTGCAACATGGGCGTATCAGGTGGCGTTTTTCTGGTTCGTTAGCCATTTTTTCGATCATTTCTAACTTTTTGAATGTTCCCACAACCCAAGGCATAACAAAAAAAAAACAAAAAAATTATTAAAATTTTTTTTTGTTCAGTGCCTTGGGCTTTTGGCATTGCGTGGATAGTCTTTGCCTTTTTTGGTTCAATAGGAGGTGGTTGTTGGATTTTGTCGCCTATTTGGGCATTTTTTTTTGGCTTTCTTTGGTTTTGTTCCCAACTCGGGGCATGTCCCAATGTAGGAAGAGTGTTTTGTGTATATACATAGTCTTGTATTGGTCATTTTTTTGGGTCCTAACCCAGGGGTTTGTCCTGAGATAAGCTCAGTGGCGGATTTAATTAATGACGAGTGGGGACACGACCCCCCACTCAAACTTTAAAAAATTTCAGATTTTATATATATTTATATTTATTTACATTTTGCCCCCTATAGAACTTTGACATTTTGGGAAAAGAACATGTTTTGTTTTTTATTTTTGAACTCTTACAAGTTACCAGAACAACAACGCACGCCAAGAACCTCTCTTCCCTCTTTCTCTCATGGTGCAGGTGCTCTAAATACTAAACTCTCAAGTCTCTCTCACCGAACTCTCCTTTCAAGTCTCAACCAATACTACTTTTCATCAGTTTATCAAAAGGTAATGTCCCTAATCCTAAATCCCTAATTTTCTTTATTCAATCGATGTTTTACATTTTTAGAACTTTTGTTATTGCATTCTTCCAATAAAATTGAGCATTATGTATTTAGAATTTGAGATTTGAAGTATAACTAAACTTGAATCGTGCTCCTAATGGCAAACCAAAGTCGTTGAAGGGGCCTTTACCATTTAGCCAATACGGTAATGCCCAGACGTCCCCACGCCTACTCATGAATTTTGAGAGACAAGGGTGTTCCTGTAAACCTATTGGCAACCCACACTAGCTGACACCAGCCATCAGAAGTCTCTCTGCAGACTGCAATACCTTTCCCCTGTTGTTTCTCCCTTATAGTAAAATATTCCTAAGAAACAATATGTCCTAGTAAAAGACTAAGAGTAGTGTCAAAGAATCCAAACCTGAATTTCCCATATAGTATAATATTCTTAATTGAATGATTTTAAGAGATAATGTTATCCATAAATCAAATTGAATGATTTAGTGATGATATCTTTATGTCCATGAGATGACAATGAATTATGTGGCTGTTTATAATTAGGTTGTTTGTTGTTGATTATTGTTTATGTTTAGTAAAAAAAACTGCACAAAATATATATATAAAAAAAACCTATCCTTTTGCTGTATCAAATAGATTATAAGTTATATGGTTTGTGGCTCCTTATGTTTGTTTGTGGTCCCTTGATGTCTGTTTGTGGTTTGTAGTGCCTTGATATTTTCTTTATTGCTTCTCTAATGTTTGTAAGGCCATCACATGTTTATTGTTAAACAAAGTACAAACCAGTTTCAAATATTTTTTCTTGTTGCAAGGAGATCTTTGTCTATTCTTGAAAAGAAAATGAGCACTGAAACAATCCACAACTATGAGAATACTTGATACATATATCAGAACATTGGCACAAATAAATACAAACATGATCTAGGGACCCAAAAGCACAGAAATGGCAAAACAAAGCACAAAAATGGCAAAAGGCTATTGACTTGCATTAAATAAAATACATAAGATTTTTTCAAAACTTCAATGCTCTCTTTTGCCTTCTCCTTGAACTCAATGCAAATGTGCAATTGAAAGTTATACCAAAAGATGCAACAATGATAACAGATTTATGTTACAAAAACTTATTATCCACATAAACTTATTACAAAAGCTTACCAAAACTTATTATTAACATAAACAACTAATTATTTCTAGAACTTATTAAAAAAACTTATTATCAACATAAACACACACACACACACACACACACACACACACACACAAAAATACTTATTACAAAAACTTAAAAGATGCATATTTAAGATTTTTAATCAAGCACAATGAAAAAAAGGACAAAAAAATATTAGTTCTTTGTTGACAATATCAAAAACTTTTTAAACTTTTTAAACATAAACATAAACAACTAATTATTTATTGTTTGTAAAGATTAGCTTGAAAAATCATTGTTTATGTATATTTTCTTTCATCCTCATTAAATTACTTGACTAAATCAAATTTTATAAAAAGAGTTGACTTCTTTTTTTCTATAAATATGCATGATTCATGTTAAAAGAGTCTAAAAGGAATTCAAACCCACAAACTATCATATTCTTATTGTCTTTCTATTACTATGTATGTAAATCACTATAGGTTATTATTCTTGTATAATTTCTTATTGTTTTATTTGTTTAAAACTTCTTATTACGTATGCAATATGGATAAATTTCTCAAAAGAAAATCAGCAATAAACCAATCATCTTCATCATTCCAAGAAAGTACAGTCAATGATAAAGAAAATGATCCATTAAAAGAAAGTCATGTAGAACTAGAAGCCATCTTGAAAGATCTTCTATCTAATCCAACTCTACGGCCTAAAATCAATCATTATCATTCTAATTATAGGGATGCAATTCGAAGATTTTACTTGCAAAAGAGTTGTTGCCAGCCTTGAAATCATGCATTTCCACTGACAAAATTTGGAAAAGGATATCGTTGATTTAATCCTGCTTGGTTTGATGTGTATGGCAATTGGCTTGAGTATAGTGTGACCAAAGATGCTGCATTTTGTTTGTATTGTTATCTTTTTAGACCTTCCATTATAAGCCAAGCTGGTAGTGACGCTTTCGTTAGTGAGAGATTTTGTAATTGGAAGAGACCAGAACGCTTTCAAATTCATGTTGGCCAGCCAAATAGTCCTCATAACCAAGCATGACAGAGTTGTGTGAATTTAATGAATCAAAAGCAACATATCGAAGTGGCTCTATCTAAGCAATCAGATCAAGTTAGGACTGAATACCGAACTCGCTTGACTGCATCCATTGTTTGCATTATATTTCTTTTGCGTCAAGGGTTGGAATTTCGTGGTCATAATGAAACTGAAGACTCGAAGAACCAAGGTAACTTTCTCGGACTTCTTCATTTTCTAGCTCAGCATAATGAACATTTTAAGAGTGTTGTTTTGAAGACTGCACCTGTTAATCTTAAATTGATAGCACTAGTGATTCATAAAGATATTGTGAATGTTGCTGCAAATGAAACCACAAAAGCTATCATTAGTGATCTTGGAGATGACATATTTTCAGTTTTGATTGATGAGTCTCGTGATGTGTCAATTAAAGAACAAATGGCTATTGCCATACGTTATGTAGATAAAAATGGTCATGTACTTGAGCGATTTGTTGGCATTTTACATGTTAGTGACACAACTACAGTATCACTTAAGATGGCTCTTGAGTCATTATTTTGTAAGCATGGATAGAGTTTGCCAAGATTACGTGGACAAGGTTATGACGGGGCAAGTAATATGCAAGGAGAATTTAATGGTCTGAAAAGTTTGATTTTGAGGGAGAATGAATATGCTTATTATATTCACTGTTTTGCTCACCAACTTCAGTTGACACTAGTAGCCGTTGCAAAAAATCACATTTCTGTTACTTCGTTTTTCAGCTTAGTTACTAATTTGATAAATGTTGTTGGAGGTTCACGCAAGTGTCGAGACATGCTTCGGGAGAGCCAAGTTAATAAACTTGTTGAAGCACTAGAAATTGGTGAAGTTGGCAAGGGACGAGGTTTAAATCAAGAGACAAGTCTAAAACGAGTTGGTGATACACGTTGGGGATCGTATTATTATACATTGATCAACTTAATCCTTTTGTTATCCTCTGTGGGCGATGTGCTTGAGGTTATTGAAGAAGATGGTTTAAATCCTAAACAAATGGGTGAAGCATGTAATCTATTAGATTTAATCTATTCCTTTGATTTTGCATTTGACTTACATATGATGAAAAGTATATTGGCAATTACTAATGAGTTGTCACAAGCATTGTAGAGAAAAGATCAAGACATTGTAAATGCTATGGCCCTAGTCAAAGTTTCCAAACAACGGTTACAATTGTTGAGAGATGAAGGACACGAATCTTTGTTGAGTGAAGTTTCTTCATTTTGCCAAAAGCATGATATTGCCATTTTGAATATGGATGATATGTTTGCAATTCGAGGGCGGCCACGATGGAGAGTTGAGCATATGACAAATTTGCATTACTATCGAGTTGAATTGTTTTATACTCTGATAGATATGCAACTTCAAGAATTTAACACTCGTTTCACTAAGGTTAGTACTGAGCTGCTTCTTTGTATGACATGTTTAGATCAAAGTAATTCATTCTCTGCTTTTGATAAGCATAAGTTGATCCGTTTTGCCCAGTTTTATCCATTTGATTTTTCTGCATTTAAGTTGATGCTACTTGAGAACCAGGCTGAGACTTATGTTATTGACATGCGTTCTTGTGATGAATTTTCTAAATTACAAGGAATTGGTGATTTGGCTAAGAATTTAGTTTGGTTTAAAAAAGACATTTTGTATCCATTGATGTATAAGCTTGTGAAACTTGCATTGGTTTTATCAGTTACGACTGCGACTGTGACTGTTGAAAGAGCTTTTTCTGCAATCAATCTATAGATGAATGATTGTTTGGTCACCTATATTGAGAGAGATGTATTTGATACAATTGACGATGAGATGATTATTCAACGTTCTCATAATATGAAAATTCGTCGAGGACAATTGTAGAAAAATTGTGTTTTTCGAAGATATATATTTGTATTTTGTAACTTTTTGTTGATGCTCATCCTAATGAAAAAAAAAAGGTATGGTTATGATTGGTTAAATTTTTTTTTTTGGTTAATTTTTTGCTCCCATCGAGTGAAATTCCTGGATCCGCCACTGGGTAAGCTGGCCGCCATTTATAGACTTTTTGTATATTCTTTTTCTCTTTTCTAATGAAAGCTTACTTACCAGAAAAATAAAAAAAAATTATGAATATTGATTATTTGTTGGCCTCTATCCAATTATTATAGATGCACCCACCAATAGAAAAAGAAGTAAATGGTTTACATTGCATGATCGGTATTTAGTCTATGAATAGATTGATGCGGATTAAAATTCTTTCTCTATACACATGTTCCTCAGTTCTATTTCTACTCGCATCTCTATATATATTATGCAAAACGAAATCATAGCGAAAGCTTAAATCCCACCTAGCACTAGCAGCCATCACAGTTTCGCGACTCTTAATTTCTTTTATATTGTTTTCATGAAAGTCTCAGATGATTTTGTTGCAGGAAAGTGTTTTGAAATCGCATGACAAAAGTCGATGGCCTCTAAAATATATACATGGTTCTTTATTGTTCATTAGCCTGCAGTTTACTGAGCTCGTTTGAGCATTACAAAGCCAGGAGTTTAAAGTTATCAGATGGATATGAGCAACTTTAGGGCTGGATCGCATGTTGCACAGCAAAGCCGGCGCGATAAGTTGAGGATTCAACAATGTTCAACTTCAGGTCAGCACCTAGAGGACTTTGCTCAAAACATGGAACAGTCATCAGTTAACCCAGATCTCATTCAAGTTCGTAATGTGAGAAGTGCGAATTTGCTGTATGACCCCACTCTTTTTTCCCCTGGGATGATAGGTTTCGCTACAAGTCCAATGTTTTGTCAGGTCAAAGAGATGCAATGCTTCAGCAAGAGTTAGGTGCAGCTCAACCCAACAATAGGCCTATAATGGCAGCTGGGGATGATTTATTCCACAGTTTGCCTCTCACAATCTCATCCCAATTAAATGCTTCATCGAGAGCCACTAGTGATGGTGGTGATTTTCAAGGTTGTAGAAGTAGCAATTGGAAAAATCTTGTTTCAAAGACAAACTCTGATAGGATGATGAATTATGCAAGTGGATCGGGGTAGGGAAATCAATCAAAATGAAATGCTTGTTGGGGAAGTCTTGTCAAATAATGTGAAAGTGAGTGATGTTCCTGCATCGAGAAAATGTTTGAAGCCTAATAGAATCCTGCCTACAAAATTAATTAATATCCATGGTAGCAAGTCACCTGACATCATATTGAAATCTATTATGCTAAATAATGAATGAAGGATTTGCTACCATTTACTAATACTTGCTTTAAAAGAAATTTAAGAGCAATCTTGCATTGTATGCTGATGTATAAGGGAGAGAAACAGTAATGAGTCTAATGACATAATTATTATGATGTATAAGGGAGAGAAACAGTAATTACTATAAGTAATAAAATATTATTTCAAACAAAATTTTAGGATAAAACCAAAGTTTTTATTGATATAATAGATGTAGCTACACATAAGTATGATTTTCCTCAATGGATTTAATATGTATGGTATGGTTTCCGATGATTATTATGAACCTTGGATATATATTCTATCAAATGTAATACATTGACAAATATTCCCAAGGGAAATTATGCTCAACTCCCACATTTTGTCTATTCCAAATTGGTAAATCGGGCTGTTGGGCCAGCCAACTGTTCCCCTTTTCCAGGTTCATTTTGAGCCAAAACTTGGTTCCAAGCCCTTCCTAAAATATACATTGAACAAGTATCTGTTAAATGTTGTTTATGAAACTTTTGTCCTCTGAGGGTTGTTTTGAAGAACTTGCGCCCTAAGAATGATATTATCCCTTTATTCAATATTCAACTCCAAACTGGTGCATCGGGCTGTTGGGCAGCCAACTGTTCTCCTTTTTCAGGTTGATCATGATCCGAACTTCGTTCCAAGCCCATGATATAAAATATAAGTGGGGCCTGATAGAATATATTTCCATGCCAATATGGCCAGAGAAGATCGAATCGGTTTCTGGGCCCAAGAACTCTAGTAGTTTAACTTATTGTTTCTGTTTAAGTTAACCATGCATCTGCATGCATCGTTAACATGTGTATTGTATATTAGTCATATTATCTAGTAAATTTTGTTCGGTAAATGATAATTTTATAAAGAATAAAGGAATACATATAAAGGAAAAGAGCTCCCCGGCACCCCAACCCTTGAGACGCATACAAGGGTCGAGGGAAAGCGAAAGAAACGAGGAAAAGAAATAATGCACGATCCTAAACACAACAGCCCAAGCCATGAGCAAGACAGCCCAGCAAAAAGAGATGAAAAGCCGAAAGAAAAAACAATAGGAGCCCAACAGCAAGGGGACGCAGAAGGCACCAGACCCCAGCAGAAAAATAGCCAGCAACCAACAAAAAGGCAACAACTGCCAAGAAGAAATCAGCAAAACAAAAACCTACAGGAGCACCCAGGCCAGCCAACAGCACCGACAAAGCGAAAACATAAAATTATAATTGAAATAACTTCAAATTTCTTAAACTATATATGAAATAAACTTATTGATTGATAGATAATAATAATAAGTTAATAAAGGTGTTTCTTTCATAATTTAAGATCATGAGGTTATATTGCAATTACAAAGATATTCGTAGATATGCATGAGATAATCTATAGTTATTAAGAGATAATCTATAGTTATTTATATAGCTTCTAATAAGTTAATTGGAATGAGTTAATAAAATTCACAAGACAACTTTACACAAATGATCGACTTGATGTTTCTTTTAAAAACCGACTATGATTTTAAACTTTGCATATCATTGCAATTCGAATTCACTCTTTTTGTTATTCTTTTAATGAGAACATATTGCATCAAGGATCCAAGATCACGCTATAGATTTTGTCCAAAATTTAGTAGCATAAAATGGAATTAGTTCAAATCTTAGCTTTACTTTCAATTAGTTCTTAGTTATAGTTCATGCCTAACTGATATCATGCAGCCATGCATTAATTAATGTGCGATAGTTGTTGGAATTTAATTGTAAAACAATACCTAACATTACATTATTAGATAACACTCGCTACTATTATTATACAATAAGATATGTACAAGCTAATACATATGGTCTTGATTCTACATCTAGAAACACTTATTAAACATAAAGCAATATCATACAAGGCATGGTTATTCAAACCTCACAAACATATATTTAATGTATGTAAAACTATATTATAACATAATATTTACAAGTTTTAGCTAGCCACTACCTTCCGATCCAGTGCCACTGCAACCATCATGATTAAAATTTGGCCTAGGGCAATAGTGATGGCCATTCACATCGTCGGGCGAATACTCAACTTTCACATTATTCCCATCCTCGATTAGTCCTCGATTGTACCGTACCGCTTGCCGGTCACCAGCATCCAATAAAACCCTTCTGTTTGCAGCCAAGCAAGAGCTCACTGTCATGAGGATTAGAGCAACCACTAGAACCCTCATTCTTGCACTGATTTGATTATCTTTTCACACTGTATTATTTGAAAAACACACAAAATTCAAGTTTAATACAAATGAAATATAAGAGACTACAAAATATGTGTACTTTACATGCTCAAAAGAACTAATATTTACTTACCCAGATAGAGATTAGAGTTTTTGTATAATTCGTGGGAGAGGATGAAAAAGAGTGTGGCATTTATATAGGAATGTTCTAGGGTTAGTGTTATAATTATATAAATCAATTAATATTTGGTGATGGGGTATCCACCAAATGAGGCAACATGAAGTGGGAGGACCCAATAATCCAATTATATTTGTTTTTAAAACAATTAAAATGATTGAGTTGAGAAAAAAAAAAAAACTTTTTTTCCATATTAGCACTATATTTAAATAGAACATCTACACATTAGCTGATAAACCAAAAGTCAATGAAGCACAATAGAGAAGTTGCTCTGTTGCATTGTGATGTCAAAGCATGGTTACCAAAAAAAATTATCTAAAAATTAAGTACTTAACAACGCAACACTTGTGAAGTGGTTTAATTTAATTTAGACATTTGGATATATATCCTTTGGATTATTGATTAAGCACTTGTTTCTAATTTCAAATCAAATGTTTAACTTCTGATATAACATTGACATGTGCGAAAAACATATATATATGGGATGATGTTTTGCACATGTCAATGATGAATACATTTGGCTAGGTCAATTGCCTTTAACATCTCCCCGGCCGAGACATGGTGCCTTTTATTTTAATTTTTTTTTTCTCTGAGCATAACTAAAAAGCGAAAGATCTTACTATTTCGTTATACAACAACCACTTTATGTACTGCGTCTCTCACATAAAATAATAGCCACTTACTATTTATGTCACTCTCTTTAATCAGTTCTTGAACTAAAACTTGGGAGAAGAAACGAAAAAGTAAAGTGAAAAAGGAAAGTTAAAGAAGCTCACGTGAATTGTATTAATATTCAGCTTAAAAAAAAACTGTACAGTAGGTAGCACTTTTATAGTGCTCTGTTAACAAAAGCATTGAAATGTAACAACTTAGTAAACTGAAACTAACTGCTGTAACAAATTGCTAACAACTTAGTAAACTGAATCTAACTGCTGTAACAAATTGCTAACAGCTGAACAATCCTAACTGTAGCAGATTAATAACTAAACANCCCCCCCCCCCCCCCCCCCCTCCAAAAAAGGTTTGCCATATATAATGACACTTTCTCACCCAAATAGTTTCAAAAATACCACTTTCCCACCCTACGTTTATATTATGTTAATACTCAAAATACATTTCACTTTTTCAGTCGATGTT